TATTAAGTATCATATGACAGATGTTAGTCACCTTGCTTAATATGCTACTGGAAAGTGCTCAGATACTATTTATAGAAGAACTATGCAGAACAGAATAGATTTTGACTGCATTGGTGACTTAAATCAAACCTGACTCTCTTTTGAGTTAATTTAATTCGGCAAGAAAACTGAATGAACAAGACTCCTTCAGTTTTAATAATCCAACCATGTGAAAATTCTCATTGATTCCTTAGTGGTTTCCTCAGTATTTATGCCATATTATCCCAGAGAGAAAGCAAGATCTCTGTGCTGTAACCAGTCAGCAGCTTGAGTCTCTCAGGAGGTTGTTGACAAACTCATTTCACTGACACATTTTGCAAAGTGTTTCCTCACAAATGGATTCTGGGTTCTGTATAAAGGCCCAGCTGCTGTTTATGCTGCTTCTCCAGCATCTTGCTCTACTATATTTTAAAAATGATTTGAATCAAAGCTCTCATTCTTTAATTAAACTTCATTTAGCTGCCATCTGTCTGAGATCAAAATAGTTTCATGTTTTGCAATTCTTAATGAGGATTGTTATTGGATTTGTAGTCACACACACACCAAAAAAAAATCAAAAAAATCACCAAACTCTTTCAAAAAGTAATAAATGAGAACCTAAAAAAAATCACCAAACTCTTTCAAAAAGTAATAAATGAGAAATGTGGCTGAAGTGTTAGTATCTGCATCTTCAGAGCTCTAATTGCAATGGGAGAGATTCCATTTGGTATGTAATCATATATAGACAAAAGCTGTGTGTAAAAATACACAAATAATCAAGATGAAGGAAATTGCTGGAATTAAATCTGACTGTAAACACCAATAAAGCAATAATCATCACTTTTCCGAAGAGGGGAAAGGTTAGAATTCACTTTTCAAATGTGCCTCCATGTTCTAAAATAACACAGTACGTAATGGAGGTTTTCTAAGCTAGCCACATTTTCAGTAGGACTGAGATCCTCTAAACTTCATTGGAAATTACTGGTGTTAATCACTTCTAAAAATAAAACTTGTAGTAGTAGATCATAGTATCAGCTAGTAAGCCTGAACCCAGACCAGCACCTCATTGCAGTGAGTGCACTATACATATAGTAAGAAGACAGACTTGTTCCAAACTACAATCTAAATAGACAAGACAGACAGCCTCATATTAAACACCAGGACTTGAGGCCAAGAAACATAAAGAGGCATGGCCACAAAGGAAGTTGTGTAGGAGCACAGAAGTGAGCATAGATCTCCCAGGTGAGTGCTTTAACCACAAGACCGTACTTCCTCACAGCAAGCCATTTTTATTTAGATTCCTAAACAGGGACTCCGGTGCCCAGCATTGGTACGCAAGTTGAAAAATTATTGATGCAACCATCTAGTAATGCGTATCTGTGGCAGGTTTAAAACAAACTAAAGTACTGCTCCAAGAAATGCACAGGCAATCTGTGGAACTGCTTGCCAGAGGCTGTTCAATGCACAGGCAATCTGTGGAATTGCTTGCCAGAGGCTGTTGTGAAAACCAGGACCTTAACAGGGTTCAAAAAAGAGCTAGATAATTAATGGAGGATAAAACTAGAGGCAGTCCCTGACTTACGAACAGGTTATGATCCGAACACCTGATTTGGTCTTAAGTCAGAAATATCCTTAAACGCGCTGCCCATGTTGTTCAAAAAACTCGACATACATGGTTCTCATCTCGAAAATCTTATAATGGGGTTAATGGGAAGTTGGTTGTAAGTACGGATGGTCGTAAGTCGGTGTGTTTGTAAGTCGGGGAGTGGCGGTATCAAAGGCTATTATCCAGGATGGGTAGAAATGGTGTCCCTAACCTCGCTCTGTGAGAATTTGGGAATGGGAAACGAGATAGATCACTTGATGATTTCCTGTTCTGTTCATTCTTTCTGAGGTACCTGGCATTGGTCACTGCTGGAAGACAGGATACTGGGCTAGATTGACTTTTGGTCTGACCCAGTATGGCTGTTCTGTGTTATTCCTGTATTCCCTTCTATCTACTCAAGTGAAAAGGAAGTGAAATAGAAAATAACAGGGGAAAAGAAATGGTGGTGGAGATAAAAAAAAGAAGGTAGGAATTGTTCATTTAAAATGTATTTAACATGAATAGTTCAGTCAGAGAGGCACTTTGACTGGGAGCAGTTCTGAAAGGATGGAGCCTGAAAGCTAAGAGAGGGCAGCAACTTTATCACCAGCTTTTAAGCTTCTGAATAATATACAACAGGATAAGTGCACACTGCGCATCTAAACTTCAAGCCCCCAACCCTGTGCTCCCCAGGCAAATGCCATATCCCTTAGTCCACTTAAGACCCCACCCCCTCTTCCTTCAGAGGGTCCCTTATCCTGCTTTCCTAATGCAGGAGCCAGCTCCATCCCTGAGACAGCCTGTGTTGGCTGTCCAGCCACTCCCACGTTGGGTGGAGGAATTCAAACCCACCACCCTGTGCTCCCCAAGCAAATGGCCCTATCTCCTAACCTAAATCGCTCCAGAACCCACCCCGCTGCCCTACCTTCAAGGTGTCCCCTTCCACACTCCAAAGCCTTTGGCCCAAGACCAGAGCCTGTACCCCAACCTGGTGAAAATGAATGAGGTTTGGGGAGAAAAGGGGATGAAGTGAGCAGGGCGAGACTTTGGAGAAGGGGTGAAGCAGAGGCAGGGCCTCAGGGTGAGGGTGGATCAGCCCGGCAAGGGGATTTGGATTTGAGGTAGATCTTACATTGCACTTACATTGAAAAGGTTGGAGACCCCTGTGCTAGACCATTAATTGTTTTTCCAGTTACAGACTTAACTCTGCTCCCCCTCTGATTTTTTCTTGGCTCTAGTACCTTCCTTTCTCTTTAGCTCTAGAAAGGCACCTTCTTTAACTAAGTGCTAACAAGCTGTACCAGTGGAAAAAAGCTAGCTAACCCAATAGTGAAATATAGCAAGGATGTCAGGGTACGAGCACCAACATTTGCAATTATTAACCCAAAAGTAACCCATCAGTCTTCAGTCTAGAACTATAATAATACAAACTGGGAGTTAGCTTCCTTTACTGGGAGGAATGGGAATGTGTCTTTGGAGGATTTATAGCTACAGGACCTGCCATCTCCCATTTTGTTGCCAAATGGTTTTGTAACTGGAGAAGCAATTAACAGCTGAGATTTCAGGGAGTGTCAGGTTATCTGCATTCATGTTTAACTAGAGCTCTTAAGCCATCTTCTTTCAGTAATACAGCCTGTATCTTCCTCTTGGCTAGCCTTAAAGCCATATATACTAATTCTATTTATCCAGGTTTTTAGCCAGCCTTCCTCGCTGTATTATTATTATCTAAGCACTGTGCTACCTTGAATATCATACCTTGTTTATTTCAATCTCCCACCTACTTGTGAGTGCATCTTAAATAAGTGCTTTGATGAGGAACATTAGCCAACTATTATTAGTGTGCAACAATAATCTGCTAATGAGATTGCACCAATTTAAAATGATTTGCTGGAGTTTATTGCACTTACTATTATTAGTGTGCAACAATAAGCTGCTAATGAGATTTCAGCAATTTAAAATGATTTGCTGGAGTTTATTGCACTCTTGTCCAAATGTGGCCAACCAGACAAAGATGTGCTGGAGGAATGGGAATCCAGGCAGTAATTTTACATGTTATTTCAAATGTCTTCATGGTAAGATGTTTTATTCAAAAGTTATAGAAATAGTCTAGTATCATGTGTCACTAGATTGAGGCAAAGCTATAGCTATGTACCTGATTTTTCTTCAATCCATGAGACACAAAAATCTTTTAAAAAATGGATTGCGGTCACCTTAGTTAAGGAATTGAGCTATAGGAAATGAATACGCTCTTTTGGTTTTAAAAGACTAGTAAACTTACACAGCAGAAATGGTTTCATATTATCTGTAAGCTGCAGGTGGAATTCACCCTTGTTGCAGAGGGCTAATACCAATCATATGTGCTGCTTTTCAAAGCCTAAAATCCAGGATGATTAAATTGAGGGATTCTGTGAGCTCTGAGAATTTCTCTCTGATTTAAAGGACAATAGAACATGTGCAATGGCAGACACCAGACATTTGAGGAACTGTTGTGGAGGCAGTAATCCAAGTATCGATGGTCAGCACAGTAAGACCCCTTTAGCCTGCCCTAGTGGGCTAAAGAACTCTTGAAGTGAGCTTACATGTAAACTTCTAGGCTGTGTCTACATTGGCAAGATTTAGCGCAAAAGCAGTTGCTGTTGCACAAAATCATGTCACCTGTCTACACTGGCCGGGAGTATTTGCGCAAGAACACTGAAGTTCTAATGTATAAAATCAGGGCTTCTTGTGCAAATACTCTGACGCTCCCGCTCAGGGCTAAGCCCTCTTGCGCAACTGTTCTTGCGCAAGAGGCCAGTGTAGACATGCAACGTTAATTTCTTGCGCAAGAAAGCCTGAGGGCTAAAATGGCCATCGGAGCTTTCTTGTGCAAGACAGCGTCTACACTGGCATGGATGCTTTTGCGCAAAAGCACATCTCTTGCACAAAGGCACATGCCAGTGTAGACGCTCTCTTGCGCAAATACTTGAACGCAAAAACTCTTGCGTTAAAAGTATTTGCGCAAAATCATGCCTGTGTAGTCGTAGCCCTAGTATTCTTAAAGCCCCTGCATGCTACTAGAGTGGTGTAAATGAGTCTGAATATAAATGGGAATCCAGGTCCTGTTATTTCTTTTTGTCAAGCGTTTATTCATCCATACTTTATGTTGTAATTTTGGCCCACTGTTTCAATACCAAGAAAAGTTTTTTAAACTGTTGACTGTAGTCTGAAGACACTAATGGCAAACGAAACATGACAACCATGTGTCAAAAATCTGGGGTTCAAACTTTAGACACTATCCATTATATTTTGGAGGTAGGGCACAAGGAGGTATTCTGCTGTCCATTAGAAGCTGCTCTTCTGTATTTATTTGTACCTATGATGGATTTGATCAAGAATATAAATAATAAAATAAGTACTGTTAAGAGCAAGGCAACACTTTTTATTTTTATTTAAAAAGGCCTTGATGGCAGGAATATAGTGTAAAAATCATTGGAAAAACTAAAAGGCATTGATACATATTAGAATATACACTTTTTACATAAATTACATTTATTTATTTATTCTGTCATTTGAGGTTCTGATTCAGTATTGAGGTCTAATAGTTAATAGGTCCTGGAATCTGGACATTTAGACCACCATAGTCTAACATGTACATGGGCCATTGCTGAAAGAGAGAAAGAGAGAAGGCAAAGTGCTGTTAGAACACAATACTTTGCAAAAACATACATTGATCAAGTTTCTGTCAAGCTCACACACAGGGCAAATCTTCCACTCTGCAAGTAAGATTTTCTATATAAATAAAAAAATAAAACACCATAAAACCTACCAAAATAACTGCTAAATGTATTAATAAATTTTGCTTTTTTTAAAAATTATGCTCAAAATGACGGTTAATAAATAACTAAGGTCAGCTCCTTAGCTAGAAAGAGATCCATGAATCTCCACTGAAGTCGGTTCTTAATTTTACATCTTTGAGTATCTGCTTCAAGGAAATTTTCGCTTCACACCATTCCCAAAATTATCATCTTTTAATGCATATACAAAAAACCAAAAACAACCCCTCCTCCCCCCAAAACGAAACAAAGAGCCACACAACACAATGGCCAAAGCGTATGGAAAGCTGGAGCACGTGAACAGTGCTTCCTTGCATTTGACAGGGCTAGTTTATGGAAGAACGCAGCTGGTTATTATGAGTCAGGGACTTTTTTAGATCCTTCAGATTTGAGTCTGGAACCTGTGAATTATTTTCACAGGCTGAGAACCCCGCATCTCCGTGAGCTAATCTTTGCCATATCGTGCTCCTTGCGTAGTTTGAAGGGAGCACAACGGTGTGAGGGGCATTCAGGGGAGAAAGGCTCTAACTTGCCTCTCTCTAAGGCAGATCCCACAAAGAGATGCCATCAGGTCTGCTGCTGTCAAAAGGACTGAGAGTGCACCTTGCAGGCCTGAGTCACCGTGTGACAATGCCAAATGCGAGCTCCAGGCAGTTGCGAGGAGGATCGGGAATGTTTGTTCTCAGTGGTAGGGCACTTTAAGCCATTCCTGCCCTAGCCACCATCTTCCCCACAGCAGCATTTGTATATCGGGAGGAGGCGTCATGACAGAGAGCAGCTCATGGCAGCCCTGCGAAGCTGGTGTAGGAGAGATGCCAAGTGGCCTTCTTGCTCTGCTGATGAACCAGCTCTTCCCAGAGGCAACAAAGGGACAGTGGCTCAAAAAGCTAGCACTCCCCTTCTTTACCAGACCTGGTGTCTCCATTCGAAGAGAGGGGGAGAGAGCAGTCCTACGGCCAGTGATGGAAAGGGACGCTGAGTGGCAGGGGAAATAGCCTGAGCTAGACAGTGGCAGTAACTCGGCTGACATTTAGAAGGCTTTACCACAAGTGAGATCTGATTTGTTGAGGGCGTGGACTCCATATTGGAAGAGGACGACGAGGAGGACGAGGAGGAGGAGGATATTGAGTTCCCTTCTGAGATCCTCTTCCGCTTTCGTTTGGGAACACTGCTGTCTTTTTCTGAAGGGGAGGACAAGAAAGAAATGGGTTATCGCAATGGCTCGCTCTCCCGCTTCGAAAGGGAAGCAAACCTCACAGTGCCCAGCCCCTTTCAAGGTCCTGGGGGCAGGGCACACGGCTTTCACCCAAAAGACATCACACAAAATAAAACGTATTTCCACCAGACACAGAAAAGAAAACGCGTCCCTTCATTCTGCGTCAGGGGCCTAGCGTACTATTCCTGATCTATCTCCCTCAGCCTTGTGACAGAAAGGGACTAGCACCTTTTCCTGCCTGCTGCTTCACCTGGCCATGGTCAGATCTGGGCAACTGGAACAAGAGGCAAGGAATGGCAATGCTTCCGCTGGGTCTTAGTGCTCCAACTCTCCCCTCGTTCTATCCCTAATCTGACCATCCCTGAAGGCTCCCACAGCCACCTGGTGCAGCTTGCAGACTGGTGACACTTCTCCCAAAGTGACACTCTACGTGGGGGTCTCAACAAAGACTCTAGCTATCTTACCCATTACAGAGATAGCTTCCCCAATTATCACCTCTAATAACATTAGCTCACAGACATTTACCTCTCTCCCCCGCCCCCAGCATCCCCCTTCTGTTCTGAAATTTGATTTGTCCTTTTCATGTGTTCATTTTTTTATTGTATCCTTTGGTATATATGGTTGTGACTATTTTCTTCCACTATTTGATCTGAGGAAGTGGGTCTGGCCCACGAAAGCTCATCATCTAATAAACCATCTTGTTAGTCTTTAAAGTGCTACACAGTCCTGTATTTTGTTTCAGCTACACCAGACTAACACGGCTACATTTCTATCACTTCTCCCAAAGTGAGTCTGTTAACTTAAAAGTGAAACGCCTTCCAGTTTGCCAAACCTATTAGCAGAACATTGAACCTGTAAAAGAGCCATTAAGTGGTAATGGAACCATTTAACAGGAATGTTCCAACCTTCTTCACTGACACAAACAGTTGTGAGTTGCTATGGTACTGGACCGTCCTTTAAAATGAGCGTTAATATTTCATTACTTTCTGGCTGAAGATTGTAAAATCACATCTCTAAAAAAATCCATGCGGAGACGCTCACTCTGAGTGTTCAGCTTTAGCCTTAAACGGTTGAATCTTCAGTTTTGAAACTAAATTCTTCAAAAGACCCCCCTTCACTACGAAACACATTTTAATTGTAAGTACCATAGTCCAAAGCTTGATTCCAAAGTCTGCCTGTCCTTTCCCTCCATCCCTTCTCTCCTTTTCACAGA